AAAAAAAAACACGAAAACCGTTTACCCCCTTCACTCCTCCTCAAGATCCTCCCGGCATAAGACCAGATGCGTCTGCGTCCGGGAGATCCCCCCCTGCGCGACGGGCGGAGACGGCGGCGGGGCCGTCGGCGCCGGCGCAGGATTCATCAGCACTAAGCAGCCCTCGCTCCACGTCCTCCGGATCGGGTACGAGACGGCGCCGCACCGAGAGGAGTGGCCGCGGCAGCCCCGGGACTTGTGGAGGGCGCATTTGCAGTTCTTGTGGTACGGCCGGTGCTCGAAGCCCGTGTCCCGGACGGGGATGCAGCCGTCGAACACGCCACGGAGGAGGCCGTCCCCAGCCGCGGCCGCCGACATCTGTTGTGGAAAATCGGCGGATCGATCGGTGGTGGAGCGGCGGTGAGATCTGACCTAATTTCTAGGTATGTTCGCCCCCTTTTGTGTTGTTGTTCGGTGGGAGTGGGTGTAGGTCGATTGAGTGGACGATTTTTTTGTCTTTTTCTATTTTTTGGGGGGAATTGATTTGATGATGGTTATGACTTATGAGTGAGGGGAAAATGTGAGCCCTTTGATAAAGCAATGGTTTGTTTAGAGCTGGTCTTTAATGGGAGCGGCAGTTACGGTCCATGGGGTGTATTAAAGAAGCAAGCATCGTAGAAATATTTAATGGAAAAATACCCTTTTCTTGCTATATACATTGTTAGAGCATCTCGAATGCTCAAATATTATTGTGGAAATTATATTCCACATTAACACATTTATTAAAATTACAAATTTTCATTCTTTAATGTATAATGTGATCACAAATATTGAAATGATGTGGACACAATTAATGTCTACAATGTAGAGAAGAATGTGGTTCATCCACATTCATCCAATGAGGAGAAGAGAGAGAATTATTATTACTATTTTTAAACTACTTAATTATTTAATTAATTTTATTAATTTATATTAAAATTTATTATTTGGCAAGTAGATAATATTGTAAATAGGCAACATTGTGCATTGGAGATGATTTTTTAATTTAATAGTTGTGCATTCAACATTTGTCCTACATGGGTCACAATCTATTTAATTTTTTGACATTTATCAAAAAAAATTCTATAACAATATTAGAGCATTGGAGCATTGGAGATGCTCTTATGTGGACAATGCTGTTTAAGTAATGCTGTTAAGTAGCGTTGTTTAAAGCAAATTAAAGTTTTTCGGAACAATATAAATCTTAACATAAAGCAAATAAAAGTTTTTTTTTTTTTTTTAATTTTTGGTACAAAAAGAAAAACCAAAGTTTGAATACACACAGTCCAAAACCGATAGCCGAAGAAAGGGAGAACCACACGCAGGTGGTCTAGAGTAATAAAATGATATATTTAAATTTAATCTTATGCGAAATAAATCGCTTAATTCCAAGAGCGTTCACATTGAATAATCGACAGTCAAAACAAATAGCGGAAGCGCACCTGATGGATTCATCTCGATTGATTGGATTTTGAAAGCACATCTGATTTTGGGATTGAAGATCTTCCAAAAGATCGTGAGCCTTGTTTCTCTTCTCTTCTTCTGACGTAGGGAAGAAACTGAATAGAGAGAGTGGGGTTTTGAACGGTTTCTTCTTAATTATCTTAATGAAGAATTCCAAAAGACCCCCTTGTATTTATCACTTACTTATGGGGACTCCACCCATAAATAATTTTGACTCAAATTATTTTCTAGTTAGGTCCTTAAGTTTTATATTATTATTTGTTGCATAACCAAATAATAATATTATCGTATCGGGTGTCCTCATTTAATCATGCCACAATTTAAACTAAGTTCCTTAGCCAATGAACAATAAATTGATGACTTAATTTGGCTAAACAATGTAATGACCTAATGTATCAGTTACATATATTTAATCCAAAAATATATTTTTATAATATAAATATAATTTATTGAGATTATTTGGTTAATTCGGTTTACCGACCCAATAAATTTATTATTTCGGTTCGATTTTAGTTTGAAGTTGCACATAAAAAACCGACAATGCATAATGTACAATATTATTAAACACTCGCCCCTTCGCCTATATTATCACCTTCTTCGTCCCCTATCATGTTGCACGCTAATGGCTGTCAGGATGCACAACAGTGTTAGAACAAAATCACGTTAATGCGTTCGAGAGTGCACGTTAGCATAGCAATGCGCATGTTCACAAATATTGAAATTTTGATTATCTCGGTCCGGCCTCGACTTTATTTACATAAAGTAAATTAAATAAATAATAATAGAACTAGCCGATTATACAAAAAAATATTATTCTTTAAATTTCCTCTTATACATGTTATTTATTTTCAACAAATAATAATATAAAATACTAAAATATATTTTATTTATATTAATAGTTTGATAAATGCACATTAATGTTAATTAAAATACACATTATGTAATGATGCCGACGAGATTGCGGATTCGAGGGCGAATCCTCTCCACCCGGGGGAGAATGATGCCGACGAGATTGATTAGCATATCTCGACAAATATGATCGACTTCGTACTTTAGTATGATTATTATTATTATTATTATTATTTATTATTATTATTATCTTTTATTATTATTTAGTTTATGTTTATTTATGTTGTGTTTGGGCTTTTATTATGTTGTAGTGGACTTATTGTGTTTGAGCTTTTAATTAATAGTGGATAGAACTTGATGTATTATTTAAACAAATGTTTTATCTGTGTAAGGCAGTTATCGTATTTCAGATTGAAACAGAAAAGAAAACTGTCTTGTGTTGTTCTCTTTGAATCTTCCCATCTCAAACTTCCTATTACATCATTTGGTATGGATTCTCGATGCCGCCGAAACGACGAGATGCCGAAATTGACGATCGCCTTCAAGGTATGGATGATCGAATGCAATTGTTGGATGCTCGGGTTACGGACCTTTCTTCTGGAATTGAAGATATTCGTCTTACACTGAATACAATGGTCCAGCAACAGCATGAGAACCGCGATTTCGCTGGTGGCCAAGGTGGTCGCGGACGTGGGTTTGGTGGCCGTGGATTTGGCGGGGCGCCCCGTCAACCGTTCCAACCGCCTTTGTTTGAAGAAGTAGATAGTGAGGATACCTGGTCGGACGGCAACCCGTTTGCCGAGGACGTTGACCACGAGACGGTTGCTGATCTTCATAATCGGCGACCACGGGAAGAAGGGTTTCGCGTCCCCGATGTCGCTGCTTTCCATCGAGCACCAGATGGGTTTCATCCCCACAGAATTTCGGTTAATTGGCGAGCGGCTCACAGGCGCGATGCCCTAGGTCGCGATGTTCCGCCAGTTGCAGACCGTGATTTCCGGCGAGGTGCTGCCGGCGTCGCAGACGATCGCGGATGGCAGCGGGTGGGTCGGCGTGGAGCTGCAAATTTCATGGACAACCGGACTACCGCTGGATTATTTGGGGATGATGATTTTGCTGCAGGTCGTGAAGGTTTTTTCCCTTAGGTGCGTGAATTTGGAGGAGATAGAAATACTTCTGATTTTGGCAGAAAATTAGATCGTGATTTTGAGGGTGAAAAATTGGCCCAGGTTCAATATGGCTTTGAGCGTGATTTTGAGGACACCAGATTTAATAGTCTTGCTGGTCCTACTTTCCAAAGCCCAAATGCTAAGTTTGGTGGGCTTGGGCATGAAGCCCATTTTAACAGGTTTGGGTTGTGTGAAGGAATTAATCGCTGGGAATCATCATTTCGGGTTGATCTTCCTGAATTTGCTGGGGGTATGGATGCTTCTGATTTTCTTGACTGGTTGGGAGCTGTTGAGTCGGTTCTTGATTACAAAAGTGTCCCGGATGACCGACGTGTTCCTTTAGTGGTGACTCGTCTTCGTGGAAGAGCTGCTGCTTGGTGGTTACAATTGAAAGGTGTGCGGCATTGTCGGGGCAAGCCGAAAAACACTTCGTGGTTGAAGTTTCGTAAGTATCTCGAACGTGAGTTTTTGCCGTTTAATTTTGTCCGAACACTTTATCAGAAATTGCAAAATCTTCGACAAGGCCAACGTAGTGTAGATGACTATACTGAAGAATTTTATAAACTTATGGCCCGTTATATTGGGGGATTGCGTGTCTCTATTCATGATGTGTTGAATATGTTTACTCCGGTTTCTGTTTCTGAGGCACATCAGCGTGCATTATTGGTTTAGCAGCAGCAGGCCCGTAAATTGGGCGCTTCTTTTCCACCGTCTGCAAAAGAACCTCCAGGTACTTCGTGTACTGCGCCGTCTACAGCGAGTGTTCGACTCGATGTGGGTGCTCCTTCTGAGGGTCGTGTGATTGGCTTCCCGACGGGGAGTGGCACTTGACAGTCTGGTGGGCCGCGTTGCTTCACATGTGGCGAGTTGGGTCATCGTCAAGCACAGTGCCCGAAGGCAAGAGGATCACGAGCGTTGATTGTTGAGGAGCCCGACTCGACTGTTTATGATGGTCCTCCAATTTTCGATAAAGAGCCGGAGGTTCCAGAGGTGCATTTTTCGGGAGACGTGGGTCACGCGCTTGTACTTCGTCGATCTCTTTTGTCTTCCCACATATCTTCCGAGGATAAGGTCCAGCGCCATCACCTTTTTGAATCCACCTGCACCATTGGCGACCGGGTGTGCCCTTTTGTCATTGATCCGGCTCCTGCGAGAATGTGATTTCGAACGAGGCCGTGACGAAACTTGGGTTGTTAAGTGAGCCGCATCCGGATTCGTACACTCTTACGTGGATACAATCCACAAGTCAACATGATGATATTGTTCGAGTCACTCGACGTGTGTTGGTGTCCTTTTCTATCGGATCCTCTTATAAGGACATGACTTGGTGTGACGTCGTGCCTATGGATTCTTGGCACGTTTTATTAGGCCGACCTTGGCAATTTGATCGTTCGGTGGTACATGATGGATGCCTCAACACATATAGCTTTTTATTTGAAAGCAACCGTATAGTCTTGCATCCGTCGTTATCCAATTGTGGTCCTTTGCCATCGTCGTCTTCGGTTTTATTTGTTTCTGAGCAGTGTAGGGAGTTATCCGGCTCGGTGGACGATCGCTCGATAGTTTTTGATGTCGGTGAATTTGTCGAATGTGTTGCTAAAGACGCCGACGAGATTGCGGATTCGAGGGCGAATCCTCTCCACCTGGGGAGAATGATGCCGACTATATTGCATTAGCATATCTCGACAAATATGATCGACTTCGGACTTTAGTATGATTATTATTATTATTATTATTATTATTATTATTATTATTATTATTATTATTATTATTATTATTATTATTATTATTATTTAGTTTATGTTTATTTATGTTGTGTTTGGGCTTTTATTATGTTGTAGTGGACTTATTGTGTTTGGGCTTTTAATTAATAATAGATAGAACATGATGTATTATTTAAACAGATGTTTTATCTGTGTAAGGCAGTTATCGTATTTCAGATTGAAACAGAAAAGAAAATTGTCTTGTGTTCTTCAATTTCTTCTTCCCATCACTTGCTATCTTGCTGCATCATGTAAGTTTTCTGAAATTGAAATATTTATTTTTTTAAAAAAAATATCCGTTCAATAAACTGCACAATAATATATACTAAATGCACATTAGTGTCCGTGGAGTGCACGTTATCAATTTCAGAATTTTATATATTATGTTCTTTAAACAAAAAAAAAATACTATAAAATATATTAAATAGAATTATTAAAATACTAAATATATTAGTAGTATAAATAATATAGTAGTTTCAATTATTTAAGATAATTTGATTAATAGGCCAAATAAACCAAATAGTTATGTTATTTTAGCCAACATCGAACTGAGATAACATAAATTTTGAAAGTAAAAACAAATAATCGGACCAACATATAAAAAAATCGAATCAAAAAAATTAGTTCAATTAGTTATTGTGCATCCTCACATTCTATTGTCCCAACTTGTCTCCCCAACTCTCGAGTTACTAGAGCTTTGGTAGAGCTAAAGATGTACTATACTAGGATTTGAAAGAAAACCTAATTCCTATATCATATCGATTGTTACCTTGGTGTTGCACAAATTATGAATCTTTCTAATAAGGAAATTTGAATCTTGTATGATTTTGTTTCCTTACCCAGAAGAACATTCTCTTCCCTTTGTAGATCTTAATGGCATAACACATTGTTCGAGCTTACAACTGCTGGTCAGATGCATCCATTTAGCTCTCACCCCGTTATTGAATTCTCTACATAGTAGAACTCGTCAACCGAGTCGATGTATCAATTGAGCTCCCACCAACCATTGAACTCTCTACTCATCAATTGAGACCACATATCAATTGATTTGAGATCATCTGCTTGAACTTCTGTGACCTTAAGAGTCCACCTATTGAGCTGGCATAAAGAGCAACTCCTACACTTCAACTCGACTGAAACTCTAGCTAAAGCAAGTAGGTGCCATGTCATATCATGGACACACTTTTTTGGTTCTACAAAACCATGTTCTTGCATATTCAACAAAGCTAATATCAAATCAAGATGGGATGTTATTTATTTTCCAGTTCAAGTCTTTTGATTTTGTTGTTATTACTCTCCCAGAAGTGAACATGAACATCAACTATCGTGGTTAGTATAATATACCATGGATACTAATAAGAGAAGTATTTAACCATGGCTGCACAAACACAAATCTGAATCCAAAAAATCAAGTCAAATAACCTCAAGAACTGATTGCCACAATATTATTAAGATCACAAACCCATAGCCCACAACGCATAACAAAGGTCCTGTAAACAACTAAACCCCTAGCTGCTTAATCCTTTCTTTTTATCCAAAGTTTCTAGCAAAAACTAGACCAAGCAAAAACTAAAGAAAAAAGAAATGTAAGCATCAAATATAGAAAAAAAAAAAAAAGCATCAAGGGTAATTTTCTCAGTCCAGCTTCACAGACGAAAACAAGTAGTGCACAAACCAGAACGAGGAAAGGAAACCGACTGTACCCGTTGCCAGCATAACCGCAAGCACCATAAACAACGAGTAACCAAGATAAAGTGTGGCTGAGACGGGCCCACTCAAACTCTTGAGGTCAAACACCAGATAGTTGACCGAGTAAAGAAAGATGTATATGGCGACCGAGCCCGAGGCAAAGAACGATTTCCACCACCACCGCCAGTCCTCGACGCACAGGTGCATGTATGTTAGCACGAGCGATACCTCAGCACAGACCACTACCAAAAGCACCATGACAATGAGCAAAAACCCAAACACGTAATAAACTCGCCCCATCCAAATGCTGGACATGATGAAGAAAAGCTCGATAAATAGCGTCCCAAAAGGAAGCGTGCCCGCCCCAAGAACCAAGAGCCAAGATGGATACTTTTGAGGTGGGATTTCCCGAGGAATCTGATTGGTCCGGACGGGATACTCAATATGGGGCGCCCGGGCCCCAAAATAGCCTCCAACTAGTGTGAGAGGGACCGAGATACAGAACCAGAGCAAGATGAGCACGACAAACAGGGAAAATGGGATTGCGCCCGTGCTGTGGCTGCCCCACAACAGGAAATTCAGAGTCGTGAGGATCACGAATGAGATACCGGGGAAAAAGCACGCGGCCCACCATGAGACAGAGAACCACCCCTTGTTGTCCCCACAGAAGATGGTCCGCCACATGCGGACAGCCACATACCCGGCCAGAATCCCGAGCACCATGTAGAAAAACAGCATGCCCGTAATCAAGGCCCCCCGGGAGGCTGGTGACATAAACCCTAAGGCGGCAAACAGAATTGTCACGACAGCCATTCCGAGTATTTGGACTCCATCACCAACCATCACGCAAAGGAGAGTCGAGTTAGCTGGGGCCCGGAAGACATCACCCACGACAAGCTTCCAGCCCGAGAGCTCCTCGTTCATCTGGGCCTGTGCCTCCTTATCGAGCTCCTCGTACCTGGTGAGGTCCCGCCTGACGGTCCTCAGAAAGATTACAAGCACTATACCGGCCAGGAAAGTGATCACCATAAGAGAGTTCAAGATTGAAAACCAGTGCACTTTTGCACCCTCCATCTTGAGATAAGCGTCCCACCTGGAAGGCCACTTGATGTCGTCTCTCTCAACAAACGATACCTCGTACGTGAAGGAAATCGGCTCGTTCTCCTTGATGGGCATGGCAACTGTACCTGGATCGCAGTTAATCGGAACAGGATACTTATCATACATTTTCAAATTCTTCAACGAGTTTGGGTCATGCCTGAAACTGCAGGGGACCACCTCAAATCCGACAACCATGTACCCGGGGGCATCTGAACCTTCCCTCCCAACCGTGGGGACAACCTCGACCGCATCCCCCGTGCCCATAACCTGAGCCACATTGGTCTCCTCGTATTTATGAACGAGAACAGTGAATTTGAGGTGATTGAACACGTAATACGTGTCCTGAACCTTGACGCCGATCGGGTATCCAGTCCACCGCAGCGTGAACCCGTCCTTGGTTGTGTACCGGATGGCGGGCAGGTTGTCAAGGATCACGTTGACCTGGTACATCTCGTCTATCCTCTTGGCCAGGAGCTTGAACTCGTCGGCCGAGAGGGGCTTGGTACCGCAGAGGAAAATGTCGGTTTCGTTGGTGTACATTTTGAATCGGTAAGGGGAGTTCTCGATCCGGTCGCCCATGAGGAGCTCTCCGAGGTTCTCGCGGCTGTCCATGATGCCTTCCGCCGGGCGGCAGAAGGGGAGATCGTAGTAGCTGAAGGGGATCTCGGTGTCGATGGAGGTCAGAGAGTTGACCTTCATGTTCAGGTAGTCCCCGACACCATACTTGTGAGGGTAGCTGCCGGGAAGGTAGAAGCTCTGTCCAGATCCGGCGAGCGTGGCGAGGAGGAGGAGGACGCCGTAGATCTGGAATTTCCGGTGAGATTTCATGATTTCTGGGCTTTTGGCGGCGATGGAGATCGAGAAATCGGTTATGGTTTTTTGAGTAACGAATATCAAGATCTGATCTCTTGATGTTGATGGTGGAGATAGAAATTGGTACGGATCTTGATGGAAGATGAAAATGAGATTTATCAGATTTTAGGAATTGAAGAGAGTTGAGCTTGATCTGATCATCCTCTGGCTGACGTGATTTGCAGTGGCATGGATTTGGATTGAAGTGAGGAAGACAAGAATAAATAAGATCAATGAGAAACGTGTGTATTTATATCTGTTTTTGTCGTCGGTGATGGAGAGGGAGATGTTAATTTTTATTTTATTAATTTCATTTTTTTGTCATTTTTTGTTTCTATTTTTTTTTGTTGGAACGATAGAAGTATTATAAATCAAAAAAGCACAAATGTGCGAATACACAGCAGCCAACAACTGAAAAAAGAGGGATGACAGGTCAGAAGACCGCCTAGAATCCCGGCTAGCAACGCTAGAATAAAAAAACACGCGACTAAACTAACCCACAACACAAATTAACACAACTACAAGACCCCAACAGGGTAATACCCGAGTGTCGGACTCTTACAGGGTAATAAGGTGACACTCGGGCTCACAGAGTGACACTCGGGCACACAGAGGCCTAAACAAAAACACAAAACCAAAGACAAACAAACGAAACTAGACAGCACATAATAAACACTCACTAAACACAACGAAACTAGACAAACAAAACAACATCGAGAGCCCTTCCCACAGCAGAAAGCCACACCGAGCACAACAATGACAGAGTCGCAGCCCAAGATCCCGACCCAGAAACTGCAAGAGACCGCCTAATTGTATCGAAGACCCACGGGTTGGCCCAACCCTCGTCCAGGCGAACAACCACACTGCCACCCGGAGAAAAATGCACCCAACCAATCAGTCAACCACAGCCTGGCAATTACCGACGACTGCGAACCATAAGCAAAGCCGCTCAGCTCGTCAATCGCCGACAACCGCACCTCCAAAACATAACTCCGACCCAACGATCACCGACGACCCCACCTCCTATGCTCAGCCCTAACTCTGTAATTGCCGACTACCCCGAGGCTCGAGCAGAGGCTCAACCCGTCAGCCCAACAATCACCAACATCCACACCTCCAAATCAAACCTGCAATCGCCGGCGACCGCTGAACCAGGCCGAGGAAAATGAAATTGTTCGGATCCCTTTCTCCACCTCAAACCCTAAATCGAAAACTGGGGTCGCAGCCCCCTCCAAGAGAGCGCCAGAGGCCACCGAAATGGAGATACCGGAGGAGAATCATCCAACCGCTACTCACTCCCGGCACTAGAGACGGAAGCCGGAAAGCAGGCCGACATCTCCTCGACGAAAAAGCTCCCCCTCCCCCGTTCTGCGCTACTCTCGAAAATGGGCTACGAGGCTCAGGAGAGCCACCACCGTGCACTAGACGCGCCCTACTGGGGAAGGCGACGGATTACGTACAGCGCGCACGGAGAGATGAGAGGAAGGTGACGAGAGTTCGGAAAGACGATTCACTTTTTTAAGGAATAAATCATTTTTTTGTTTCTAATTCAAATTTAGAAACCAATCCTTTTACAAAAGGCATCAAATTTATAATTTTTTTAGATGGACAAAATTACTATATATACATAAGTTAAATTATGAATTAAGATTCATTATCAACAATTAATAGATTATATACCATGAAAAATCACCAAATAAATTATTTAAAACATAAATAATTTTGAATTATGTAATTTATGAACAAAGTGCAAAAAACATTTCAATGGATCTATCAAACTTATATGCATAAATTTACATATATATCCCTCTATATATCTATATATATATAATTGTTGGCATGTAGCATTTAATAAAACCTATTTAATAAAACCTTTAAAATTTTCCCTCCATTTTCGGTTACAAAATTTATCATTAATATTTTTTTAATTCTCACATTAATACACCCTATTGATTGTAATCATGTATGTTTCTATTTATTATATAATAGTTATTGTTAATACCAACTAATAATAATTCACAATAAATATAAATTATATAATTATAAACAAATGTTTAAAGTTATATAATTATATTATTTATTTTAACATTTATATTATTTTTTTCTTTCGTATCTCATGATTTAAAAAAAAAAAAAAACAGTTAGTAAATTGTTTTAATGGCATAGTCAAACAACTTTAGAATATCATAAACAATTATTTTTTAATAATAATAATAATAATAATAATAATAATAATAATAATTATAATAATAATAATAATCTATATCTATATCTATATATATAACTGTTGGCTAATAGCATTTAATAAAATATTTAATAAAACCTCATTTCAATTTCCCTCAAAAAACCGTTACAAACTTTATCATTTATATATATCTCTCTCTATATTTAATTACTAATAATAAATTTAATAATATTGATTATTGTTTACCATCTTTTTATGTTACAATCTTCTATTATTATTATTATTATTATTATTATTATTATTATTATTATTATTATTATTATTATTATTATTATTATTGCTAGCTTAACAATAAATTTTACCTAATAAATAAAACCTAATAAATTTTACCTATGTGGCAAATCATTAAATAAAACCTAATAATAGAACCTAATAAATTTTATTTATGTGGCATTAATGCACCCTATCTCATTAACAATATAATATTTCATTACACTTTTTT